ATTGGAATCACATCAGAACCTCGGATTAATTTGGGGAGATTGGTGTCTTTGCCATTTTGAGTCTGTCTTCTAATAATGTGGTGCTCTACTCACTGTCTTCTGTACCTTTCACCAAAGTTTCGTCCTTTTCTTCCTACTCTTGCACCTCTCTTAATATCTAGATTTTTTTTCTGATATGGTAAATGGGATTTTTTTCTAATTTCTACTTTACCACTACTGTTATATAGCAAAGCTACTAATTTTTAAACAGTTACCTTGAATCTTGCTATCCTATTGGTCTCCTTTATTCGTCATAGCAGTTTATTAATTGATTCCCTAATTTTCTAGATATTTTCTTTATCTTTTTCTAATATTCATACTTCAGTTCTCTTTCTTGACTCATTTCACTGTCTGCAACATTTAGAAAAATTTATTGCTGTTGGTGATAGCAGGTATCCTTAACAAAGGTCTTGACTTTAATGGAAATGCCTATAATATTTTACCACTAAGCATCTTGTTATGGGTTTCTAGCAAAAGTTCCTTATCAAGTTAGCGTGTTAAGTGTTTTCAAATGCTTTTTCACCGTTTGTCATAATGATTATAATTTTTTTCTCATTATATTGTTTTTCTTCATACTAGATTGTCTAATGCTGAATAGCATTTGCTTTCATGGCATAGAGCCAACTCAATTATATCCATTAAACTGCTTTATCTTATTCTCTGCAGTTTTAGAATAAGTCTTGATTCAGTTACGACCATCTTCTTACTAATTCTTCTTCCAGATTGTCTTGGGTATTTTTGACTTTTACATATTTATATAACCATTAGAACAACTTGGCCGGGTGCAGTGGCTCACGCCTGTAATCCCAGCACTTTGGGAGGCCGAGGCAGGCGGATCACGAGGTCAGGTGTTCGGGACCAGCCTGACCAACATGGTGAAACCACATCTCTACCAAAAATACAAAAATTAGCTAGGCCTGGTGGTGCGTGCCTGTAGTCCCAGCTACTCAGGAGGCTGAGGCAGGAGAATCGGTTGAACCCGGGAGGCAGAGGTTGCAGTGAGCAGAGATCATGCCACTGCACTCCAGCCTGAGTGACAGAGTGAGACTCTGTCTCAAAAAAAAAAAAAAAAAAAGAACCACTTGCCATATTTCACAGAAAAGAAGACCAAACCAAACAAAAATAACTACTGCGTTTTTTATTGGGATTGCATTGATTCTATAGACCAATTGTCTATTTTTTTTTTTTTTTTTTTTGGACAGGGTCTTGCTTTGTTACCCAGGCTGGTGTGGTGCAGTGTCATGATCATAGCTCATTGCAGCCTCAAACTCCTAGGCTCAAGTGATCCTCCTGCCTCAGCCTCCAAAGGAGTGGGGATGGTCACGTGTCACCATGCCTGGCTAATTTTTTTGTTTTTATTTTTAGTAGAGACGAAGTCTTCTGCCCAGGCTGGCGTAGAATTCCTGGGCTCAAGAGATCCTCCCCCCACAGCCTCCCAAAGTGCTGGGGTCACAGGCGTGAGCCACCATGCCCAGCCCAATAGACATATTTAAGGTATTGCATCATAACTATGGCATAGCCCTTCATTTTTTCAAATCTCTTTCATTTATTCTCAATAACATTTATAGTTTTCTGTATAGAGTCCCAAACAACTTGTTGGATTCATTCCTAGACACTAAAGTATTTTTTGATGTCATTATAAATGGTATTAAAATTTTTTAAACTGCAGATGTTACCTAGAAATACAAACTAGCTTTATAAATTAAACTTATAACCAGCAACCTTACCTAACTTACTTAAATTCTAATAATTTAGATTTTCTATAAAAATAATCTGAAATATTGTGAGATTTGTTCTTTCTTTCAAATCATTGTATTTTTTTTTCTTGAGTTAGTGTATCAACTAGGATCTTCATTAAATTATTAAGTGGTGATAGCACATCCTTGTCTTGTTCTCAAACTTCAGACCAATTTCTCCTTTAGTTTCTTTCTATTTTTGTTTTTTCATTTTGAGGGCATGTTGTTGGGTATATACAAGTTTAGAATTGTTACATTTTCCTAGTGAGCTGAATCTTTTTGTTGTTGTTATGAAGTGTCTGTCCTTATCTCTAGAATAGGAATAGGAAATATGTAATTGTAATTGTACTTTATTCTCTTCCCAGACAGTGCAAGGACTTTAGAACTTTTAACCCCATTTCCCTCCCCAACTTCTATGTTATCATTTATTTTAATTCTGGATATATTTGAGACTCTGTACATTATCACTAATGCCGTTATGGCTACACTTACTTTTATGGTTAGCATTTGCATGATATGTCTTTTTCTATTCTTTTCTTCTCAAATTCTCCCTAGTCTTATGTTTTATATCTATTTCCTCTAAATAGTGTATAGTATTTTTTTCAATCCAGCCTGATCATCTTTGTCGTTTAACTGGAACGGGGACATTTACTCAATGTTCATTTTATTTAGAGTCTACTATACCATCTTGCTAGTTGTCATACCTGCTCTTGTATCATTTTCTTGTCTTTCTATTCTTCTTTCAGACAGATGATGGTATTCTTTGTCATTCTTTATCAACCTCTAATGTAATTGTAATTGTACTTTATTCTCTTCCTAGACAATGCAAGGACCTTGGAACTTTTGACTCCATTTCCCTCCCCAACTTCTGTTATCATTTATTTTAAGTCTGGATATATTTGAAACTTCGTAGCCATCACTTCTGTTTTACATGGTCAATATTCATTTAAACTTATTATATTCACTAATTTTTCTTGCTCTTTTTTTTGTTATTGTTAGAACTCTGACATTTCTTGTGCATAAAGAATCTCCTTTAGACTTTTTCTCAGGGGAAGTCTGCTGATGGTGAACTTTCTCAGTTTTTGTCTGAAAATATCTTGAAGGATGTTCTTCCTGGGCATATAATAATTCTAGGTTGGCCGGGCTTTTAGGTTTTGTTTTTTCCAACATATTGAGAGAATCATCCTATGGTTTTCTGGCTTTTATTATTTCTGTTGACATATGTGTTGACATTGTAATCACTGCTTCTTTAAAGGTACTTTGGCCTTTTCTTCGGTTGCTTTCATTTTGTGATTTTCCCTAGTCTTTGGATGAATGCAGTTTAACTAGGATGCGTCTAGAGATGGATATCTTTGTATTTTCCTGCTTGGGGTTTGAGTAGGGTTTCCAGACTCTGTGAATTGACATTCTTTATGTGTTTTAGTATAAACATTTGAATGTTAGATTTTAAAATATGATTCTGATGCCAGGTGTGGTGGCTCACGCCTGTAATCCCAGCACTTTGGGCGGCCAAAGTGGGAGGATCGCTTGAGGCCAGGAGTTCGAGACCAGCCTGAGCAAGACAGCAAGATCCTGTCACTGCAAAAAATAAATTAAAAATTAGTCAGGTGTGGTGACACACTCCTGTGGTCCCAGCTACTAGGGAGGCTGAAGTGAGAGGATTGCTTGAGCCCAGGAGTTCAGGGCTGCAGTGAGCCATGAGGACCACTGCACTCCAACCTAAGAAACAAAGTGAGACCCTGTGTCTAAAAATTAACAGTTAATAATAAGTAAATAAATAAAATATGATTCTGCTCTATACTTTCTCTTCTCCCATTAAGCATCTTCTTATTGACTACCTTAGGTCTCTTATCCTCTCTTTTGTATTTTCCATTCTTTTGCCTTTTGAGGTTTCATTTATCATATCTGTCTTTCTAGAAGAAACTATGAATAATTTCTTTGAACTTTAAAATTCACAAATTCTCTCTTTAGCCATCTAATTTTTTGTTAAATCTTTGAGTTCACTTATTATTGTATTTTTGAGCTCTGGAATTTCTGTCTTATTTTTATTCAAATATGCAGTGTCTCTTTTAAGTTTCCAATTATCTGCTGAAATGTTAAACCTTGTCTTTAATCATCTTGATCATAGAAAACAGTGTTCTTTTCTGTTTGTGTGTGACAATTCTGGTATTTGGAGCCCCTGTACTGGGGTTTCTGTTGTCTATCTTTTGTGCTGGTATTAGTTTACATTGTCATGGCTCCTCAACTGTCCAATTATCTTTGATTATGTGTCAGATATTGTATTATAAAAGCTGATGGTAAACATGATTTGTGGTTTATGGGTAATTTTCCCCAAAATGTGATTTTTGTTTGCTTCTGCAGTGTGCCCATGAGTAGCAGCAAACTAGAATGAAAATAATCTACTTCTAGGGATTGGAAATTTCTGGGCTCTCCAATGACTCATCGAAGGGCTGCATTCTGAGCTGACTCTGTCATACCCATAGGGCATAGGTCTTAAAATGCCAAACAAAAGCAGAGGCAGTATAATGGGGCCCCCACTCTTGAGGGTCTCAAACTCTGTCTACCACTTCTCATTTCCCTCTTCTGGATGGCAGATGGCCCTGGGGCAGAAGTGGCCCCAATTTCCAGATTCACCTCTCTGAATTTCCAATTTGTTCTGGATCTTGGCCCAGTAATTCTTTATGTTCAGATTAGCCCTCCCTTGCCTTTGGGCTGATGCTTGTTTTATTTGTTGGGTTTCTAATTGTCTTCAGAGGCCTGAGGTAACTATCTCGCCACTACATAAATTAGATGCTCTCCACATAAAATGCGAATTGGATTCTAGTCTCTGCCCTGGAACTCACCAATTGTTTTGACCTTCAACAATGTACCTATAGCCTATAGGCCTGTTCCCTCATATATAATTTGAGCAGGCTCACTTGGGCCCCTACAATTCAGTTTCTACGTAATGAACATGATTTACTCCAAATCAGAGTGGATTTTAGGATGAGGAATCAAAAGAAAAGACTTACAGAAGGCAGTGCTTTTCCTGAAAACCTGAAATATGGTAAGTATTTTAAGAAAGGGGGAAGAAAGAAAGTGTGATGACAAGAGAGTTGCTAAAATCTTGTTGTTAACCTATGGAATTCCTTACTCCCAACAATGTTGCAAGGCCAAGAATCCCCACTGGCAGCCTTCATTTGTCTAGGATAAGAGCAGTAACAAGAGGCCCGAGACCAGGCTGGCTTGCAGAATCCTCGGACATTTTATTAATTCGTGGTGCCCACTATCCTTGTGAGAGCAAGAAAATGCAGTGTTTCAAGCCCCATTCAAAGAACTACATTTGACAAAGTTTTATATTAGTCCAAGAGCCCCCACCCCATCTCCCCACATAGCCCCGCACAATACCATCTTATTGGCATAACAACCTGTATGGATGAAGGAAGTCAAGAGCCTTAATCAGAAAACACATGAGAAAGCCACGCACGGGAGCTCATGCCTGCAATCCCAGCACTTTGGGAGGCTGAGGTGGGCGGATCACCTGAGGTCAGGAGGTCAGGACCAGCCTGGCCAACATGGCAAAATCTCATCTCTACTAAAAACACAAAAATTAGCTGGGCCTAGTGGTGCACGCCTGTAATCCCAGCTACTCAGGAGGCTGAGGCAAGAGAATCACTTGAACCCAGGAGGCAGAGGTTGCAGTGAGCTGAGATCCTGCCACTGCACTCCAGCCTGGGTAACAGAGCAAGACTCTATCTCAAAAAAAAAAAAAAAAAGAAAAAAAAGAAAAAAAGAGAAAATACATGTGAAGGTGGCTAACAATAAAACCTTTGTTCAGCAGTTTATCTTACTACATGGTTATTTTTGTAGACTCTTGGCATCTTTTATCCTAAGACACCCACTTCTTGATTTCATGCACTGCCACATTAACTACATATTATACATAAAGAAGAACAAAAAAAGGAATGCAGGTTATTACCATTGGCCCTTTAATTGAAGAGTCTAAAAACTAAAGGCTGTAACAGAATACTAATCCTGCAGAACAACGGATAGAAACATCAGGCGAGACAAGTTTGTCTTCATAACCTGGGCTCTCAGTTGGGGTGCTCTCTTATATTTCAATTGAATATGTGTTTTTAAACCTTCCTTCAACAGTCAGGGTGTCTGTCTATTTCACGGCTCCCAAAATTCTAACTGCAAAATAAATGACCATCTTATCATGTTTTCCCATAGCTGTCAGGAGGATATAGCAATTTCATAGATCACAACATGGTCAAGAATCTACACATCTGATGTATTCTTTTTTTATCTTTTACTTGATGCATTCAAAAGCAACCACTGGATTTTTTCGATGTAAAAAAAGAAAAGTAGATACCCATGCCAAAATTCATGGGTGTAAACAGCCAACAGAGCCGAACTTAAAAAGAAAATAAAAGATTTGTTTCTGGATATTGGTTTTATTGGTAAAGATAGAAGAACGTTGGCACCATTAAAAACTCAGGTAATAAAGCTCTAAGCTTGATTTTTGTATTGCTACAGTCTCTTTCTTCTAAGGGGAAGAAAATCTGCCCAAGAACAGGATGCTACCTGAGGAATTGTGCCGAATAAAGAAAAGGAATGGATGGTCGGCAGTGAAGTATTCCTCTGGCATCAACATGCAGAAGGTGGCGACGCCCGCTGTAGCGGCTGCCGCCTCTGTTCCCTCTTCATTCACTTCCACGAAGGACTTGTGGACAATTTTTGATATAAAAATATCTCTGGCTCCTGACATGCCAGACAGATCAGCCTTGCTACTGTCAAAGAGATCCTGTACACCTAGGCGGGCAAGGTCTGAGTTGAGGGTGTAACTCTCTTCCAGTTTGAACCTGGGCAAGCTGACATTAACTTCAATGAAATCAAGATTCTCAGGTTTGGTCCACTCGTGCAGCTTTTCCAAAGTCAACTGTTCCTCAATCTGCAATTAAAATGAGGCGAAAGAAGAAGTGATATCAATTTTACATAAGTAAGGCAATAAAGTATTATTTGAATCAAAGGACCCATAATATCAGTTGCTAGTTAGTTTCCTTCATGTTTTGTGCCAAAACAGATTCCATTTGGAGAATTTTATTTCTTTCTGGCAATTGATGAAATAGGGCAGAGGTGGTGTTCCAAGTCATCAAAGGTTCAAGTACCGGAACTTTGTACATTGGGTCCATCATCCACTCACTCACTCATCCATCCATCCATCCACCCAGCTACCCAGCAACACAGTCACTCATTCATCCATCCATTCATTCACCTATCCACCCACCCACCCATCCAACAATCTATCTACCTATCTATCATCCATCCACCCATTTACTCATCCACCCATCCACCCATCCATCTACCCATTCATCCATCCATCCATTCATCCAGGGTTTACTAAACTCCTACCACAATGGATTACTGTGATAGGCCATGACAGCTGCTATTACTTCCAGGTCGAGTAGTGCTAGAAGAAATTTAAAGTATTTCTTCTATTTAGTCTGGATCCCACTGAAGCTGTGGTAATCGGTGAACCTTACTGGAGCTGAAGTAATATCTAATAACTTTAGCTCCTAGGTAAAAATTTAAAAGGCAGATTATGCACTGGATCTAGTTCCTCATCTGAAATGTGACGTGGACATTACTTATATCTACCTTATAGACGGTCGAGAGCATTAAATGAAATGATGTATATAAAGTACTTGACCCATAGTGCTATATGAATGTCAGCTATTATCATTACTATTGTTATAGCTATTGGACTGGAACAGAATCATCACTCTACTTGTTCTAATGGTGCTGATCATTCCTTTTATGAGGCTAGAGATTTTCACTTTACAATCAGAAAAAAAAACTAATGCAAAAATACAACTGAAAGAAAGACCACATTGATTTTTATACAATATATTAAAAGTCTGTACATGCAAATGATTAATATTAGACCCCCTTCCTGATGGCAAGTTTAGCTGGGGAGGAGACAGAGAATACAGAGCAGGCTAGGGTCCCTACACATAATGGAAACCTCATACAAAGTTCACATGAGTAAATAGGCCTAACGTGTCACATGAGGCTTTTTCTGTCTTGTACCCATTGAAAATTTAATTCACTGTCTACATGAATTGTGATGAGAATGAACAGGGTAATAATAGAATTGTATAGTACATGATGAAGATAGATGCTACACTCTTTGGGGCTTTTCAATCTTTTTCCTCAGTAAAACAATCCTCATCTTACTGTAATTTCCTCTAAAGCTAATTCAAGAGCCTGTCCATGGGCGGCCACTAACCAGTATTATATTTAGTATAGATCTTTGATGACCGCATCACAAGGGTCCACTGAAAGTAGCTGGCCGTCTTTCTTGAAAAATGAAACGTCAGCCGGGCACAGTGGCTCCCAGCTCTAGTCCTAGCTACTCAGGAGGCTGAGGCAGGAGGATCGCTGGAAGCCAGGAGGTCTAGACAAGCCTAGACAACATAGTGAGACCTTGTCTCTATAAATAAATGTAAAAAATAAAAAAAAAATTAACTTGGGCTTTGGTGTAGCAAGTGTTGATGGGCTACATTTACAAAGGAATGACAAACTATTGGAAAATGAGCCATCAGTGAACACTTAACAAGCACCTGCCTACCATGCAACACACACACCAGAGGAACCACAAAGCACAAAGCCCAGGAGCCATACCTTCTTCAGGCCCGTGGACTCGTCCTCAATGTCATCCGGCAGCAGGATGACCATGCTGAGCTCCTTGCCTTGGTAGGGCAGTTCCAGCACACGGCACTTAAGGTCTTCGATGTAGCCATATGCAAATTTTTTCTTCTGATACATCATTTTCACAGTTTTTGTGTCTTTCTGAACAGTTAAAACAAATCACTGAAATTATTCTCTGCATTCTTTTAGAGCAACGCATGACTCTGTACAGTTACCTCACCTCACCTTATTCAGTCTGAATGGTGCATTCGTCGTGGCCTCTTTCATGAATTTATCCTGCCAGTTTCCCTTGAAATAGATGGCATTTACTAGCACAAGTTTAGTCATGTCATCAACCGTGCCTGAAGCCAGCAGTTCTGGGATTTTCCCTAAAAAAAATCAAGTTAGCTTTAAAAAAAATCCAAATTGGAATTTCAAATTTGAACTGACAATATATTAGCACGGAAATGCAATTCAAATATATACTTTCTACTTAATTTTCATTTAACAAGATACTAAATTAGGAAAGCCCTACTCACTAACACGTCTCTACTTTACATATAACAACCTGTGGGGCAGACCAGGATGACACACAAACTTCCCACAAAGGACTTGACATTTTAAACCAGTCAAATGTGCTGAAAGACTAAAGACAGGAAAATTCTCCTTTTCTGGACTGTACGATAAACAATGAGCCTTATTTTGTAACAACCATTCTTTTTCAGAAAAAAAAATTCTTAATGAAGATGTCTTTAGTCATCAGTAAATCACTTCTTCAAATCGCTGAGTAGATGCCTACTCTCACAAAAAAAATTTAAACAATATCCAAAAGGCAGAACAAGACCAAGCATGGTGGCACACACCTGCAATCCCAGCGCTTTGGGAGGTGGAGATGAGAAGATTCCTTGAGCCCAGGAGGTCGAGGCTGCAGTGAGCCATGATCGCACCACTGCACTCAAGCCTGGGCGACAGAGCAAGACTCTGTCTCTTTTTTTTTTTTTTTTTTTTTTTTGAGATGGAGTCTACCTCTGTCGCCCAGGCTGGAGTGCAGTGGCGCAATCTCGGCTCACTGCAAGCTCCGCTTCCCGGGTTCACGCCATTCTCCTGCCTCAGCCTCCCGAGTAGCTGGGACTACAGGCGCCCGCCCCTGCGCCCGGCTAATTTTTTCTATTTTTAGTAGAGACGGGGTTTCACCATGGTCTCGATCTCCTGACCTTGTGATCCGCCCACCTCGGCCTCCCAAAGTGCTGGGATTACAGGCGTGAGCCACCACGCCCGGCCGACTCTGTCTCTTAAAAACAAAAAACAAACAAACAAAAAAACCCAGCAGAACATACTCCATGGAAATAAAGGTCACCTTGGTGACCACAAGTATGGCCGGGAACAATTTGCATAACGGAAGACACGCCTACTGGAGTGGGTTGACTAATACAGGACTAGATAAGAAGAGAGATGTAGTAAAGAAATAAATTGCACCCTAAGAGCAAGTCAGTCCCCACCTACCACACCTTTTTTACTGGACAAGATGTTGGCAAAAAATTTATGACCACAGTAGTTTGTGAATATTGATTTCAGGTATTTCCGTGAAATTCCAGGACATTTCTTCCCATATGTGTATTAGGTAATTTTTGGCAGGCTGGATTCTCCTCAAAATTTTAATTCCTTTTTTTTGCTGTGTTCAGTGTTGGTTTTAACTTTATGTTTTATTTTTTATTATTTTTATTATTATTTTTTAAGATGGAGTCTCACTCTGTTGCCTAGGCTGGAGTGCAGTGGCATGATCTCGGCTCACTGTAATATCCGCTTCCCGGGTTCAAGAGATTCTCCTGCCTCAGCCTCCAGAGTAGCTGGGGTTACAGGTGTGCGCTACCACACCCGGCTAATTCTTTTTGTGTTTTTAATAGAGACAGGGTTTCATCATGTTGGCCAAGCTGGTCTTGAACTCCTGACCTCAAATGATCCACCTGCCTTAGGCTCCCAAACTGCTGGGATTACAGCCATGAGCCACCGTGCCCCGCCAATGTTGGTTTTAACTTTAAAATGTAACTTTAAAAGTTTTGGGGAGCTGGTAAGAAAAAAGGATTTAGCTGCTTGAGTGAAATCATGTTTAAGTTTCCTCTCTGGTGAACTTCTAACATGTGAGAGCTGTCCAGCAACGTGCAGTGCAGAGTGCACACACCGGGAGTGTCCTCTGACTGTAATCACAATGTGTGCCAGGACTGTGGGAGCTGGGGAGGGAATAACTGCAGGTGTGAAAGGTGGACTGAGGAAAGGAATGACACGACCAGCGCATAATGATTCCATTCTGCCCAGGCGCTCACCTTCTGTCTGTCCTTTGACCCACTGGTTTATGGTCTTCCTTGCCTCTTCAGTGGCATGCTGAAAATCCACACTGGCCAGGTCAGCACCATATGTTTTCTGAGTCGAAGCCAAGAACTCCTATTTAAAAAAAGAAAAAGGAAATATACTCCTACTCCATGTTGAAATTGTTTTCTACAATCCCGAAAAGCAACAGAAATTGTCCTAAAAGGCTACAATTCCATATAACACAAAATTTCAAACTCTTATAGTTTTTCTTATAGTAGTAAAAAACATTTAACATTAAATTTAGTATCTTAGCCATTTTTAACTGTGCATTCCAGTAGTGGTAAGCCTAACCCTTACACTGCTGTTGTTATATAAAAATTACCACTCTTTTCTGATCTTTGACTAAGATTTCACAAATACTGATTGTACTCTTGCTTCAGTAAAACCTCCAGGAGCTATGTTTTCACTAAGACTGTAACACAAAATCATCAAGTCACTTAAAGTTTGCATTCTGTCATGTTTGCCTTCCGGATTGTTTTTGCCATGTTTGCCTTCTGTATTGTTTTTCTGAAAGTTTACAAATATTAAAACTGACTTTCATGACTTGATTGTGCTAGAAAAATATCTGCACTGTCTAGTGGGGTTTTAGAATGTGAAGGGCAAAGTACTTACAGGGAGGAAATTGTAAGTTTTCTCTCCATATAATCTATTAGCAAGTTTCAGAATATAAGACGCTCCAGGTTTGTTGATCTCAGCGTTCAGACTCTGGAATCTTGAATGAATCTCTTCAACCGTGTTGAAATGAAAAGTCTAAAATAAAGAAAACATTTCTACAGCCATTTATTTTGAAACTATAAAGTGATTCCTTGGTGTTTCCTTCTATCAAATTAATGTGTTTTTATTACTAATTATTGATGATCCCAAACCCAACACTTCATTAATTTGTCACTGCAGAACAAACAATAGGAAATCCAAAATGTATGACTTTGTGAGACAGAATGATTACAACTTTAGACATTGCTTTTACATCACTCTTTGTTACACTAGCAGGTCCACAAATGTGGGTGGTTAATACACTAAATATTTATATATGTCTGCCTTTTCCAAAGAAAATAATAAATGGTATGTTCATATTTATATTCTGTATCAAATATAATTTTACTGAACGTTCCCAGAAATAAGCAGTAAAAATAGGATTCATCCTCTATTCAGAACCACAAAGATATTAGACTGAGGCTTTTAAAATTTTATTACCCTATTAACATCAGTAACTCACTTATTTTAAAATAACTTCCTTAAACTTAACATTCTGGCAAAAGTTTAATTCTCCATGTATCAGTTACAAATCAAGTGGCCCTTTGTGGTTTTATGAGACCTAGGCTGGTTCCTTTATGATTATGACACAAAGAACAAAATTGCGTAGGGTAGGAAGTCCACATTACTCACTGAGATATGGAATGTTTGCACTGTGCCTACGCTCCATCTGCTTTAATGGAAATGAGGGAGGAGTCCTTAAAACTATTCTTTGCTGAGGTTTTCAAGTCCCTGGAAAGCCTCAAGCTAGCAACTGATATAACCCCGCAAGAAGCAACTAACAATGAGTAACAGAGGTTTTTTTTTTTTTTTAATGGATTTAAAAATATATTTAAAATGCTTTCATATCTAACGCGATGAGTAATAGAAGCTTCGCAGCCCCTTGAACTTGAATCCCGGGCTGCACCTTGTCAAGGAACAGGGGCCGTGTCATTCACAGCAGGTATGTTAGAAGAGCCCCTACTTTTACCACTCTTTTCTGCTGGCCTTCGAGAGAGCGAGCTAGAGTTCTCTTCTCAGAATTAAAGAGTATCAAACACAGAAGTCCCCTCCATGTCCATTAAGGACAAGAAGTGACCTGTCACATTGCCAAGGGCTGGGTCCTGCTCCCAAAGCTGCTGGGTGTCCCCCTCACCTCCCCTGCAGGGCGTGCTATGCCACAGCCCACTAAGCCATGCTCAGCACCCTGGGACTATAGAACCACAGGGTCACTTTTTCTCTTTTCCTTGGAAAAAAGCAATGCCACTATCTCCACTATAATGCATTCCCTATGTCTCACTCCTCTCATTATGCTTGAATCATGTTATGTAACAGGCAATATTTATGAGTTGCATATCATCCATCATATGCAAAGCAAAAACTGGAAGCTGCTAGCTCAGGAGGATGTAGTATGGCTTTCAGGAAAGTTGCCAGGTTCATCCACTGGAACAGAAGACTCGCCCTGCAGGGATTTTTGTCAGCTTTGCTCACTGCTATCTCCGCAGCAACACAAAAAAAACAGTTCCTGGTATGTGGTAGGTACTTAGGAAAAACCTGATGATGAATGAAAGCCTGCCTACAAGTGTGACTTTTCTGACAGTCTGATCTCATAAAAATACAGTTTCGAAAACACACTGTAAGGGCTCAAAGGCACAACCTTTCCATAAAGACCGTCCATTCGTAGGGAGATGGAAGGAAAGCAGACCCTTTCTGTCGTTTCTGCTGACCTTGGACAGCTGTGCTGCCGTGTTCCCTCTGGTCCCCAGAAAGACCATGGCCATCGCAGATGAAATGCTGAAGGGAGAGATGAAGATATTTCCAGCCGGATTGTGCTCACTCAAGGCCAGGAACAGGTCCAAGGCGAAGCGGGTGTTTGCTGAGCTCAGCTGCTCCATGGTGAAAACTGCAACACAGAACAGGGTCCCCCTGGTGCCCACTGCCCATGCCAGCAGATTAGGCAGCACTCGTTCCCCCAGAAGCTTCCTCCACTTCTGCCAGCCACCCCGTGGCACCCTTGATCTTGTACTTTCTCTCCGCCTTTTTATTCCAGCAGGGCAAGAACACTTTCCCAGGCCCACAAATGTGGGACCATGCTGGCCAAGGATTCAGCAGTTACAGGGGATTTTAGGGCACCCAGGGGAGCCCTAAAGGGCTCTGGCCTTGCGGACAGGTGAGTCTGGGGGGTGGGGTGGGGTGGGGCAGGCCCTAGCCACCCCAGCTTTAGCATAGCCACCCAGCCCTGGGTCCTCCCAACCTATGTTTGGGAGCGCAGGTGCTTCTGAGCCTGTGATTCAAGTCTGATTCACTGGGCAATGAATCCATTGCCTACCTTCACCTGAACTAACAGCATTCTATCAGAGACTCATAGCTACCTACTATGCATTAAAACTCTGGCAAAGGTATCACTGTAATTATTATAATAATATAAGTCTTCCTTATTTTTGAGGTTCAAAAGGCATAAGAGGTCCAGTGCCCAAAGTCTCAGAGCCGGTGTAGGATGTGCCAGTTTGGAAACCCACCACCGTCCAGGGTCTGGCGGTGCAGCATCCCATCCGCCACCCACTAGCCCATCTGGATCTCCACTCTCAGAGCCCTAATTTCCCCAAGGACAGGCAAAGAAGAACGGTACTGCCCGCTGGGCAGCTGACTTCTCCTTGTTGTGCAATCGTCTCTAGAATCGCACGGGGTTCCTCCTCTCTCTCCCTGCAGCTGCAGATAGGAGCAGTGCTCGACCCTGAGCTGCCTGGAAACTGTCACAAACAGCTCTGGGAGGAAGGGAATTCAGGGAGAAAGGACAACATTCTAATCTCGGGTTTCAGTCTTGCCCTTCCGCCTGCATCTGTCGTCCTCCCTCCTCCCTCCCAGGCTGGCCGGGCCTGCGCCCAGGCAAGGGCGGGGGATCAGAGGTCGCCTGTCTCGGACGCGGCGCCCGGAAGGGATGGGGGCGCCAAGCGGGTGGGGGGCGCGCAGGGAGCTTCCGGGCTGATGGGCCTGAGCCTGGGGCGGGGGTGGGGTGCTGGGCTGGAAGATGAGCGAGGGGGCCTGGCCTCTCCCCCCAGCTCGCCGCCGCGCCACCGCTCCGAGTCCCGGCCTTACCCGATACGCTGCCAAGGCACGCTCCGGGCTCCGAGCTGGGTGCGAGCTGTGGGAGGAAGCACCGAGGGCCGCTGCCCTTATACCATGCGGAAGCGCCACCCGGGCCAGCAGCCGCGGGCGGGGCGGCGGCCCTTCCCTGGGACCGCCGAGGAGTCAGAGCTCCCGGGGTTGCCTAAGTGGAAGCAGAAATGAGCGTGGCTTCCGGGCAGCGCCCTCCTCGGGGCATCCGCGCCTTTCTCAGTTCTAAGCCTTTCCCGGAATCGCTGGCAAGGACCTGAAGAGCTTTTTCTTACTAAGGTGTGAATGACTGACACGACATAGTGTGACACCTCTTAGAGGGCAAATGACTCCCTTTGAGTCCTATCTATATTGGAAGCTTTCTTTGAGAGAAGGAAGAAAATTTGGGGATCTTGCATAGGGAAAAAGAGGGACCCCCAGAATCAGATAAAACAGAACCAGTTCCAAACACCTGCTCTCTGTTTCCAAGATGACAGCTTGCTGCTGCATCCTCAATGGTGGAAAGTGGAAGGGCAAAAGGGGCCAAATCCCATGTGAAGTCTCTTGTACAAGGGGCTAATCCCACTCATGAGGAAGGTGTCCTCATGATCTCATCACCTCCTAAAGGCACCACCTCTTAGCATTGCATTGAGGATTGTTTCAGCATGAATTTTGGAGGGGACACAGACATACAAAGCATAGCATTTTGCCCCCGTCCTCCAAATTCATGCCCTTCTCACATACAAAATGCATGCATTGTATCCCAGTGGCCCCCAAAGTTCCAGTATCAACTTTAAAATGTAAGTCCAAAGTCTCTTCTAAATATCTTCTAAATTGGCCGGGTGCGATGGCTCAAGCCTGTAATCCCAGCACTTTGGGAGGCCGAGACGGGTGGATCACGAGGTCAGGAGATCGAGACCATCCTGGCTAACACGGTGAAACCTCGTCTCTACTAAAAGATACAAAAAATTAGCCGGGCGAGGTGGTGGGCGCCTGTAGTCCCAGCTACTAGGGAGGCTGAGGCAGGAGAATGGCGTGAACCTGGGAGGCGGAGCCTGCAGTGAGCCGGAGATCGCGCCACTGCACTCCAGCCTGGGCTACAGAGCAAGACTCCATCTCAAAAAAAAAAAAAAAAAAATTTCTTCTAAATTAGAAAGGCATAAGATTCAAGGTACAATTCATCCTAAGTGAAATTCCCCTCCAGCTATGAGCCCGTGAAATCAAACAGGTTACATGCCTTCAAAATACAGTGGTGAGACAGGCATAGGACGGACATTCCCATTCCCAAAGGGAGAAACAGGCCAGAATAAAGGAGTATCTGGTCCCAAGTAAGTCCAAACCCAATAAGGCAAACAGCATTACATCTTGGGGCTTCAGAATCATCTTCTTCGATGCTGTGTCCCCCATTCCGAGCACATGGGGGTGGGGACTGGGTCCCCTAGGGTCCAGGGGGCCCACTCCCATGGATTTGCCCAGTGCAACCCATGCAGCAACTCTCACAGATTGAAGTCTAGGCTCTCCCAGGATAGACTTGCATGCTCGTGGCTGTACAGTTCTGGGTTCTCAGGGACAGCCCTGTTCCCACAGCTCCACTAGCTATTACCCTAGTTGGGGCTCTCTGCAGTGGCCCCAATCCCACTGCTCCACTAAACATTGCCCTAGTGAGGGCTTTCTGCAGCAGCCTCACCTCAGTGACAATTCTCTGACTGGGCCCCCGGGCTCCCCAAGACATCCTTCAAAATCTAGAAGGAGGTGGCCGTATCTCCACAGTTCGTGCACTCTGTACACCTGCAGAGTTAGCATCTCGTGGACATGCCAAGGCTTACAGGAAGGGTAGCCTGACAAGGGCCTGCATGAGCCACACCTGAGATGGTGGCCAAAGAGTGCTGCACCAGAATGTGGAGGGACGGGGGTGGGCAGAGACTTGAGGCAGCCCTAGGCAGCAAGCCCCAAGGTTCCATGGTGTCCTGAGTCCTCCCTTAAAACCGTCTGCCCTCAGGATCCTGGCACTCTGAAATGGGGATGGAGATCCAGCACCGGTAACCTCTGAAATGCCTTTGGGTTCATTCTTCCATTGTCTTGATAAATAGCATCTGGCTTCCTTCTATACATACTCACCTTATTATCAAATGTGATCCTGACCACACTCTTAGTGTTCTCTCCCAAACATGCCTTTTCATTCTTTACATGGCCAGGCTGAGAATTTTCCGAATCTTTAAGCTCTGCTTCCCTCTTGATTATAAACTCCATCTTTAATTCATTCTCTCTGCCCACATTTTACTATAAGCAGTCAAGAGAAGCCATGCTGCACTCTCAACACCTTGCTCAGAGATTTCTTCCACCAAATATCCTAGTTTATTGCCTTTAAGTTCTGCCATTCAGAAAACACTAGGACACAGACACAATTCAGCCAAATTCATTGCCACGGTGTAACAAGGATGACCTTTCCTCCAGTTTCCTTTTAAGATCTCATCAAAACTGTCTTTACCATCTATACTTCTAACTGCATTCTGATCATGACCACTTAATTAATCTCCAAGAAGATTTAGACTCTCCCTACAGCTCTCCTTGTCTTCTGAGCCCTCACCCTTAATTTCCCTTAATGCTCTGTTCATGTCTATATAGGCTTTTTCCAGCATGCATCTCCAAATTTCTTCCAGCCTCTACCCATTAGTCAGTTTCAAAGCTGTTTCCACATATTTAGGTATTAGTTATAGCAACATCCCACTTCTCAGTATCAATTTCTGTCATCATCCATTTTTGCTGCTATAAATGAATACCTGTGATTGGGCAATTTATTAAAAACAGAAATTTATTGCTCACAGTTCTGGAGGCTGGGAAGTCCAAGAATAAGGCACCAACATATTTGGTGCCTGGTGTGGGCTGCTCTCTGCTTCCAAAATGGCACCTTGTTAATGCATCTAAGGGGGAAATACAGTGTCTTCACGTGCTGGTGGGAGGGATGGAAAGGGATGAATGCACTCCTTCAGGGGCCCAAATTCCACCCACGAGGGTTCTGCCCTCATGACTTCATCACGTCTTAAGGCTCTACCTCTTAATATTATCACATTGGTGATAAAGTTTCAACATACGAATTTTGGGGAGACACATTCAGCCCATAACATCTCTTCTGCCATGTGAGGACACAGCACTTGTCCCTTCTGCCTTTCCCACCAGATGAGAACACCGCAAGAAAATGCCTTCATCAGACACTGAGTGCGCACCTGCAGATCTTGAACTTCCCAGCCTTGGACTTCCCAGCCTCCAGAACTGTAAGAAATCGGTGTCTAGTGTTTACAAGGTGCTTTGATAAAGCAGCAGGAAAAGACTACGACAAGGGCTCTTCTTGAGAAGCTGGACTTGTTCTTATCCCCCTCATCTAGGAGAAATGTGTGGACACTGCCACATTACTGCCCCCTTGAGTCTTCCTAGCTCATCTCATCCGACAATAATACGGAGAAGTGTCAGTCTCCTAAGCGTTTTTCCTTATTCTCCTTCACCTGGAATTATTCCTGAATTATTCCTCCTGCTCCCAGCTCCTGAAAGTAGAACTTAGACTTTTTCTGGCCCTTCAAACTAGCTGCTACTGATCACCCAGAACTCTCAGAAGCATCTTGAGAATTTTTTTCTTCACTCTTCAAAAGTCATTTTGAATTAGCTTGTTTTCTTGTTCAGTTTAAGAAAGTGCTATTAAGTGAATTGTGACACTTTGAGTAAACTTGCAGCATGGTGAAATTAAAAGTCTCACAATAGAGTTTTGTAAATATGTTAAATATAATTCTTGTGGGTAAATTTTTCCATATTGTGCTCGCTGGATAATGTATTTTATTTTAGGTGCTCAATTCCTCAAAACACAAAATTTGTAGTAATCCACTAGCAGTTCAGCAATTGGAAACATTTTAAACTAAAGAAAAAGCAATTTTTATGTGCCATAGCCTGTATTTACTATAGCAAAGGAGAAATATGAAAATAATTATTAAACTTATTTTAATAAATAATTTTTCCAGCCTGGGCAACATAGGGAGACCCCATCTCTAAAAAACTTTAAAACTTAGCTAGGTGTGGTGGTACACACCTGTGTCCCAGCTACTTGGGAGGTTGAGGTGAGAGGATCACTTGAGCCCAGGAGTTGCGTGAGGCTGCAGTGAGCTAGGATCGCGCCACTACACTCCAACCTGGGTGACAAAGTGAGAACCTGTCTCAAAAACAAAAAAACAAAAAACACCAAAAAACTAATTTGTAACTTATAAACACAACTAGAAAAATAACACAAAATTATTTTACAGATAATGTTTTCTTATAACAGTCTGAGAATTTTGGGTGAGACTAATTTCATGACAGTGAATAATTTTGGCCCCTGGACAGTGGTTGCAGATAACAAGACACTCCAGGAAAGTCTAAAATCAGTTACTTTTTCCTATCTTAAGCAGCTTACGTGATTGAAATGAAAGAAACAGATAAAATAATCTCTCAGGGTTTCTTCTTTTTTCTTTTTTCTTTTTTCTTTTTTTTGAGACAGAGTCTTGCTGTGTTACCCAGACTGGAGTGCAGTGGTGTGATCTTGATTCTGCTCACTGCAACCTCCGCCTCCCAGGTTCAAGCGATTCTTCTGCCTCAGCCTCCTGAGTAGTTAGGACTACAAGTGTGCATCACCATGCCCAGCTAATTTTTTGTGTTTTTGGTA